CCCTTTAAAAAAATCCAGCAATGTTTGGGCCCATAAAAGCCCAATTAGAAGTACTAATAATTATATCTTATTTTATTTTTAATATATAGGAAAAAGACTAGCCAAGTAATTTCCTTCCACCTCGGGTTTCTAGGGTTTAAGGCAGACAAAGATTGAAAAATATTTCTTTTTAGCTTCTTTACTGTGTGGGTACTATGTCAAGTTCCTAAAATTAAAATTATTGTAATATGGTTTCTTAAAATAACACATTTTTGTCAAACATTTTAAAATAACATAATAAGTATTTTGATACAAAAGTAAGAGCCTGACAAACCAAGGATTGGAATTATATCTTCTCCTTGATGAAGTACCCATGCCAAAGCTAACTGAGGAGGGGTGCATCTATGCTTTTTTGTCAAGTTTTATTAAAAAGCACATACCAGTTTGTTCTCCTATAAATTATCTCCTGTGAATCTTGGATGCATTTTCTGTGACAAAAACATTGATATGAATAAAAAAGGAGATCTTTCGTATTATAAATAATGTTAGAATTTGTGTTGAATCTCATAATTTCACATCAAAAGTTAAGTGAATTTGAATTTGTTTTGTATTTCACATCGAAAGTTTAGTAAACGTATAAAGAGTTTCACCATTATAAATAAAATATTCTAGTTTTAGTTTGGTAATATCAAATAGTTAGACATCAAGATAATAGTCAGGTGAGTATGCTATTAAAATGGTGTAATTAGATTTTGGATTAAGTTTTGAGTAAAAAATTTTTGGTGACTTTTCTTATTTCATAAATCTCTCAATTGTGAAGATTTATTTGATAATAGATTAAGTTTAGAGTAGGTCATTTTGAATTATGTTGAAACAAATATATTTATGTGATTTTATTCTTGATTTGAGCTTGCTATTTTGCTCGTGGGTACTACGTGCGCGTGTTAATTTCTCAACAAATGGTATTAGAGCTGTGGTGATCCCTACCAAATAGTATTAGAGTGAAGTTTATGGGAAGAAGAAAAGGGTCTCAAGAAGGTATGTCTAATATGCCTATGCTTAAGTTTGAGATTCTGTTATTTGATAGAAAGAGTAATTTCATATTGTGATAAAATACGATTCAAGATCTGTTAGTATAACAATAGTTAGATAAGGTATTAGAGAGTAGTAAGCTTGAGAGAATGTCTGACGATAATTAAAATAGAATTCAAAAAAAGCTGTTAGTAGTATTAGATTGGTGCTAGCCCCAAAGGTAAAGTATAGTGTGTTGACTAAGAGTACTCTGAAGAGTTTTTGGGATAAGCTTGAAGGTATTTATGTATTGAAGTCGTTAACTAACAGATTATGTTTGAAGATGGATTTGTATTCTTTGAAGATGAAAGAATGTACAAGTCTTTATAATCACCTGAATAAGTTTAATAAATTGATTTATCAATTGCTAACGATTTCTGTTGATGAATTAGAAGACAAAGAGAAGATTTTAGTTTTATTATCATCTTTGCCCAAGTCTTATAGGCCTTTAGTTTCAACTTTGTTAGTGTGTAGATCTACTTTAAAATTAGATGATGTGATTATCTTGTTATGAAAGAACAAAAGGTTTATGGGAACACAAAATTCATCACCTAGGGAAGTATACTAGCTGTAGAGGGTTTTGATCAGTAGAGGACTCAAAAGAAAATTAATTGATAAAAAGAAAGATCAAAGTTAAGAGATAGAGATTAGTGACATAGAATGCTATTATTATGGTGAAAAAGAACATATCCAAGTATGCTGTAAGAAGCTAAGAAGGGATATAGTTACTTTTAAAAGGGCGAATGATGAAAAAAAATCGGATGAAGAAAAGAGTGATACTGGTGCTGTTGTGTCTAATGATGATGATATTATTTTAACGACTTGTATGGATGAGACTCAGACTTTGAAAGGTGATAAAGGTTAGGTTTTAGATTCAGCTGCTACACTCTATATTTGCAATGATAGAAATTGCTTTGTGGAGTTGGATGAGAATGAAAAGTATGAAGATATTGTAGTTGCTAACAACCAAAAAGTGTTGATTCAAGGAATTGGGAGTATTCGCCTTAGATATCACAATAGTGTTATTAGAATGCTTTGTCATGTAAGGTATATACTAAGTTGTAGTTATAATTTAATCGCTTTAGGTGAGTTAGCTTCTCGGGAGTAGACACACAATAGTAGTAAATTGTTGAAATTTCTATGATGAAAGAAAAAAAGAAAGGCAAGCGTGTCAGCTTTGCAGATACTTTTGAAGTGTTTAGAGATTCAAGTGAGAGGATTTGTTGAGATTTGCCTTGAATCTCATAATTATACATTGAAAGTTAAGTGAGTTTGAGTTTATTTTGTATCTTACATTGAGATTTTAGTAAACGCAAAAAAGTTTTACCCTTATAAATAAAATGTTTTGATTTTAATTAAGTAATCCCAAATAGTTAGAGATCAAGAGAATAATCAGATGAGTAGTAATTGAGTTTTTTATTAAGTTTTGAGTAAGCAGTTTTTGGTGACTTTTCTCATTCCAAAAGTCTCTTAATTATAAAGATTTATTTGACAATGAATTAGATTTGAAGTAAGTTATTTTAAGTTAGATCAAAATAAATATATTTATGTGTTCTTATTTTTTATTTGAATTTATTATTTTATTTATAAGTGCTGCGCATGTTTTGATTTTCCAACAGATAAAAGCTGACATGTGAAATCATTAATATATCCTCTTCAATCTCACAAGTCCAGAGAGAATATTCTATTTCCAGGGCTGTGATAGGATGAATAGCTTGAGCTCTCCTCATCGTTTCAGCACTAGGTTCAGGTAGCCCAATATATTTTATGTTTCCCTCCTCTACCAGCTTCTTGAGTTCCCTCAGCTGTCTTGCAAAGGTCCACTCAAATGTTTGATGCATTAAGCAAAGGTCATGAACAATAAATCTATTGTAAAGAAGTGTTCCTGATATTGCTTACAGTATCCTGAAGTATCTACACAAATCAAGCCGCTTTAGGCTAGCTTCACAGCATTTTCGCACATATTCAGGGGTCTCCTTGACGCCAAAACTGAATCCCTCACGCCTAAAAATTCCAAATTTTGTTGCTAATTGCACTTTTATCCCGCGGAAGTTGCTTCAAAGCCTGAAAAAAATGCAAAAATGTGTCAACATGTGATCAGGCGAGGCTCTGGATGGAGACATCCTACAAGTACAACAAAATTATATCCTTATCAATATAGAAATTCAATTCAAAATTTGATCACTGCTACAGTTATTGAATAAATTGGTGCCTTTAAGCCTTTTTTAGTTGTGTACTCTGATCAGTTTCCCTAACCTGCATTCTTTGATAAGTATAATGAGTGCCTTAGATCCAACTCCTAGATGCTTATCGTGCTTGCCCCTCTTCCATACAATTTTTTTTAGATAAGGAGGACCAAGCCTGAGAATAGAACTCCAAACCTGCTGATGCTACCTCTTAAAAATGGCGGCAAAAAACAACGGAACTAAACTCGGGTTCTTGTATATAATTTATTAATATGCTAGTTTTATGTTGGACTTGATCTTACTTAAAAGGTTGAGGTTTTATTTTCGGAATTCAAGTAAGAAACTTACGTTCCCGACCATAATCTCGTTATATGGTAATCATCACCATAAATATCAGATGTGTCAAAGAAAATGATGGCCTTAGAAAAAGCATCTTTTATAACAGAAACACCCTTCTTCATGGGAGAGAGGAGCATTGTATACCCCAGAGAGTCCAGCGCAACCAAAGCCCAGCCTAGAGACCTGAAAATAGCGATAGATGCTATTATGACAGCAGTTGGAAATTACAGCTGCCAAGTAGCCCTTAAGCCCGCTAATCATTTCTTACCCTTGTTTTCAAGAGCATTCCAAAATGTTTATCAAGATTCAAGGTCATCCACATAAATATTAGCTACAAATCCTGATTCTGAAAGGCATCCAAAGAGCACTCCAGTGTTAAAACAGTCACAAGACATAGGTATTTGCCATCCAGCCATTGCATGATTGGAAAATCAAATATTACATAAAATATGCAAGATGATCAGGGTTGATGAAAAATGGTGCCGACCAGTAAAGGATAATTCTCTTTGTCATTGTTAACAATCATTTTGCTTCATTCGATATGCTTTGTACATCAAACAACACCCATGGTATTGACTTAACTAAGGCTTACCTCCAATCCTTGAGTTCTCAGTTTCGGCGTTCCTGCTCCATTTTCAACGGATTGAAGATGCTAGCTCAAGGAAACTTGTGGAGTTTCACACTCCCATTTTTTGTTTTCTTTTCACAAATGAATTTATATGCAACCAACCATTGTATATTGGAGAGGCGACTTCCAGACGTTGACTGTCCACTTTATTTGTGTATTGAAATAGAAGCATTTTGGTCTGAAGTCCGAACTCATAAAAAAAAAAAATCTTGGCCGGGACTGATCTGATGAATGTTGTTATCCCATGAAAATCCATAATTACATCCAATCCTCCATTTTGAGAAGGGCAACAAATATCATGGCTCTGCAATATTTAAGAATACTGCACAACCTGAGACCTATATCTGCCTTTTATGCACTAAAAGAATGAGAGAATACTGTGGCAATTAACTGCCATATTTCATTTGTTGTGCCTAATGCTATTCATATTACATGGTGATGGTGCTTGTGAAAGATTTGTTTTGTTACTTCTGCATTTAGTGCCAAATGTGATCTTTAAAGTATATATCTATAATTGCCAACAATGGTACTGAACTTATAGTTCAGTGATTAAGATCCCTGATAGCTTGAATAATAAAAATATATATTATCTATAGTCAGGTTGCTCGATGGCTTGACATTTTGATTCTACCTTCCTTGATAAATGAGAATCTTACTTAAATGATGTAGATCCCTGCATTTGGAACAATTGATGTTTCTTACATTTCAAGTTCTCAACTAACCCTCAAAATTTTCTGTGGATTTACACTTTTCTTTCAAGGTAACTATTTTATTTACGCTTGCTTTGGAATGCTTAATATGTCTGAGAGAGAGACTCCAAGAAGCAACAATAAAAAAGTTAGAAAATCAACTCAGTTATTACAATGCACCAATTCAATCACAAGGGAAGTTATCATGTCTAGAATCTCTGCCTGGACATGCATTTTATTTGCCAAGAAAAAAAAAACACAATTGAGCACAAAAAGAAGTGAGATTCTCACTTCCACAAGTGACATAATTCCCCACAGGTAAGGATAATTTTAGCATAATAACTTATTCATCACACGTGAACTCTCTTTTTCATGGAGATTTCCTCTGCCCAAATAAGATTTATGAGCAAGCAAATTGAACTACATAAAAAAAAAAAGAAGCCAACATGCTTCAACTCTGTAATTTTCTTCACTTTAATGGAGTATTAGCAAACTTCCAGGCATATTGAGAAAGGAAGCCCCAAACTCTTTGGCCACTTACCTCATCAAGAGGCACAGCATCACAAATTTCTTTCAAATCCTCTTGTCTAAGCTTCAATGCCAAGGATCCAACATTGTCTATGATGTTCTTAACTTTAGTTGTCCCTGCATAAATTCAACATGATAAAAGAAATTAATATCAAAGATTGGTACAACTGTACAATCACCATGCTGCAAACCATGTTAATGGAGATAGCAATGTACTAAGAAAACGTGCAATGCTATTAAAAAGGAGCATTTCATTTTGATAGTATAAATTAAATCCATTGATTGAACAAGCAAATGCCTTGGCCATTCAGAACTAGGAAGAAGGGGTTTGGAATCAAATCCATATGAATATAAAGACATTGTTTGTGGAAATTCGAAAAAAAGACCCAAGCATACCTGGGATTGGAATTATATTTTCTCCTTGATGGAGAAGCCATGCCAAAGCAAGTTGAGGAACTGTGCAGGCATGTTTTATAGCCAGGTCTGAAAATCGGGAATATAGAAGTTCGTTCTTCTCTAAATTCTCCCCTGTGAACCTTGGATGATTTGCCTGTTCCAGGAGTACCCCAATTTCTGTAACTAACATTCTTTATATATTTACTTCAAAATGAATAAATTTTACATGCAGAATTTAAAAATGCAGTTACTGCCAACAGTTGTGTGATCCTGTGGACTGGTGGTAGAGTGTTGGACTCTTAGTTCCAGTCAGGTTCAAATCCTGGCAACTCAAGTACCAAAAAGTAAAAAGAAAAATGCAGTTACTGAGACTTTGTTTTTAGTCTCATACCAACTGGCTCCCATTGGGCAAAGTCTCCACAACTGCCTTCCCTCCAAAAAAGCCCCTACCAAGAGGACTATATGCCACTATTCCAATTCCAAGTTCTCTGTATGAATAGATGCAGGAAACGATTGAAAGAAGTTAGAAAAAATATTTGAAGTTTCTTAGGCCTCAATGCCTAAACAAATTCCAATGAAGTACATAAAGCTATCAGCATTATAGGTATCTCATAAACATGTTCTATGAACTTCATGGCAAAATATCAGCATACCGACAAAGTGGAATTATTTCATCTTCAATTTCACGAGTCCAGAGTGAATATTCCATTTGTAAGGCAGTGATAGCATGAACTGTATGTGCTCTCTTTATTGTATCAACACTAGCTTCTGATAGCCCGATGTACTTTATTTTTCCTTCTTCCACAAGCTTCTTAAGCTCTCCCATCTTTACAAGAAAGCAATCAGTGGATCTATAAGTAAACTGAACAGAAAAGAAATGATCTCTTGATACTTACTGTCTCTTCTATTGGCACTGAAGTATCTACACGGTGTTGATAGTATAGATCAATATACTCCACATCAAGCCTCTTAAGACTAGCTTCACAGCAGGCCCTAACATGGTCAGGGGTACCCTTGACCTCAATTAGAGGAAGCCCCTCGGATTCTGATTTCACGATACCAAATTTTGTTGCCAGTTGAATTTTTTCTCGAGGAAGCTGCTTCAGGGCCTAACAATGCAAAGAAAATACATTTGCTGATGAATGTTCCAATCTAAATGTTGCTTGGGCTATAGAAAATATATCTTGGAAAGACAACATTTGAAGATACTCCATCTACATAATACTACCTTGCCAAGCATGATCTCATTATCATGTTTTTCCCCATAAACGTCAGATGTATCAAAGAAGGTGATACCCCTATTGAAAGCTTCTTTTATGACTAAACATCCATCTTCATGGGACAGAGGAGTATTATATATTCCTGAAAGTCCTGCACATCCAAGTCCCAATCTGGAAACCTGCGGGATAGACAGGAATATTATGAGAACATAGAATTTCTTCAACAACATCAGTAAGCTATAACGGATCAAATGGGCAAAAACTACCTTGAAACTTGGAAGGGCTCTATTTCATTCAGTTCAAGCACTATGAAACTATTTCATTTAGTTCAAGCTCTATTTCATTTACTGAAGCTATGATAAGTTGCTGCTCCCAGAAAACCCAGCTCAGCAGTCTTTAGATTAACCGTTTCAAACTAAATTTATCATATCCAAGTACATGTAAGAAATGTAGTGCAATTTAGAAATTTTGGAAACTGAATACTGCAACAGTGAAAATTCAACCAAGCGTAAATCAGCTGACAAAAGGTCCAAATCCAAATCCATAAAAAAAGCTGGGTGAAGATGAACAGCTTTAAGAATAACTATCTAAGCGTTGAGTTAATCCAATTCAGTGAGCGTGAAAACTAAGCAGCTTACCTCCAATCCTTGACTGCCTAATTTCGCTCTTGGAAATTGAATTTGGGGTTGCTTTTCCATTTTAAAGAAACTGCAACTTGATTGAAATCTCCGATTTTTTCTAAAAGAACTTGATTGAAGTCTTGAGAAGGCTAGCGGCTATAGTTGGAAATAATGTGAAGTGTAGCCTCTTTTAATACAATAACAATTTCTCATGTATAAGAAAACATTTTGTTTTCAATCGTGTCTGGTGGGCCCTAACCATTTTTATATTGATGAGGAAGATACTTGCTGCAGGATTCGCTTTCACTCAAAAATTAATTTTAGTGATGGGCGAAATTAATATTAGTGAAATTAAAAATAATAATAATTATTATTATAATTATTATTAAAAAAAAATTTATTAATTAAAATTTTTTATTGAATAAATTTTATTAAAATTAATATTTAAATTTAATTAATGATGTGATAAATGTAATTGTTTACACTAAAAATATTATCAAATAAATTTATATTTGATATTTTATGAATTATATTAATTTATAAAATATTAATTTATTTAATTAATAGATATATTACATTAAAAATTATATTTATAAATATATATTAAATTAAATTAAAATTAATTTTAAATCAATCAAGTCAAACAAATTAATACATGACATCAGATCAAATAAAATAAATAAATGATGCTGTATCGAGATAAAATCAAATAAAACTTAAGGTCAACAGCATATGCCTATGGCTGCCCGTAACTAATTGATAACCGCAAGTGCACTTGGTACTATGGAGCTAACTAAGAAACGGTGCAATGTTAAATTTTAATACTTGTGCTTCATAGTCATGTACTCGATTGAGTTTGTCTAAGGAGCATTTGTAGGGAGGAAGAGAGAGAGAGAGAGAGAGAGAGAGAGAGAGAGAGAGAGAGATAATTTTTTTTAATTTTATTTGTTTTCATTCATAATATTCAAAATTAAAATCTTATTTAATAAGAATTAAATTTTTTATCATTCGATTTCTTTTGCTAAGATGTAATTCCTAATAAATTGATAATAGTGGTAAAACAGCAACTTATTCATCACAAAAGCACAGCTCTGTTTGTGTAATTTTTATCACTTTGATGGGGTATCAACAAGCTTCCAAGCATATTTAGATAAACATACCAGGGATAGGGATTATGTCATCACCCTGGTGTAGAAGCCATCCTTTGTAGCCAGATTTTTTTTATAGTTAAAATTATCAGAATTTAAATCCTGATCGCGTTAGAGCAATTTTTGTAACCCGATTGGAAAATCCACCATATAAGATCTTGTTTTTCTTTAAATTCTTCCCATATGGATGCATCCCATGTTACATACAGGAATGCCGCATATTGGAGTAAGTGGAAGAAACTCAAATCCTAAGGAGAAACATCTATGTGCTTACTGCATAAGAAAAGAAAATCCGACACACAGGAACCGGAAATTTTAGTATTATTTTGTTAAGAGTTTGTTTCTGGTCACTTACAATCAAACTTCCATTGGGCAAACACTCCACAACTGCCTTCCCACCCAAAGAAGCCATGACTCTATGCTACTCTCCCAATTCCAAGCTCATTGGACAAAATGCTTTGAGGAAAAGATTGAAAGCACAGCAAACAAATTTATAAAATTTAAAAAAATTTTAAATTTTGATTTTTTTATAAATATTTTTAATAAAAATATTAACATAATTTTTATTAATAAATTAGTATTTTATAAAAAATTTTATTTAATTAAATTTTTTAAAAATTTACAAATTTCACTTAAAAACCTAATATAAAATTTGTCAGATAAATAATGCATCTACAAAATCAAGTCCAAGAAAGCAAAAAATAAATAAATCTTTTACCAATGTAAAGTGGAATTATCGATTTTCAATTTCATAAGTCTAGAGAGAATATTCCATTTTTAAGGCAGTGATAGGATCAACTGCAACATTTGTTAAGTTTTAAATAAAAAATGTTTGTGTAAAAAAAAATAACAAGAAAAAAAAAGATAAATATATAAAAAAAAGCGTAATTCAATTATGTTGATTTATATCAAAAGAGTTTAAAAGATTATGTTGTTAATATTTCGATTTATATGAAAATATTTATATAGATGATAAAAATAATATTAATAAAAAATAAAAAATTATGACTTCATTATAATTAATTTTAAATATATTTTTTAAATTTATATAGATGGTACATACCCTTGATGATAAATCGAACCTTCTCTAACACAATAATACCAAAATTTGTAGCTAGTTTGAATTTGATCACGGGGAAGCTGATTCGAGGTCTAAAAGTGCAAGGAAAATAATTTTGTTAATGTATGTTAGATTTTGCATGTCCATCAAACCATCTTGGACGTAAAACATTTAAAATATTCTACATTTACAAATCAAACTCTTTCAGTATAAGTGAGGCGTAAGGCTGATTATGGTTCCTCTTTTAATGTACAATTAAAGTTGTAATTAGACGTATAAACGATTGAGTTTGAATCAATATAATATTAAATTTAAATTTAAATTTATTTTTAAATTTGAGATTTAAAACTTGATTTAAATTTAATTAAATTTTATATTTTTTGTTCAAGTTCAACTTGAAATAAAAATTAAGTTACTCGATCTTTTTTTATTAAGCTTTATTAACATAAAAAAGAATACATTTTTATATTTGATAAAAATTTAATTATTTATATTTAAACTCAAACTTAAATTTGAGATATTTTATCGATTAAAATATTAAAATATATTAAAATATAAAAACTCGATTACGTTTATGAATTATTTGAATCAGATATAAAAATATTTGAATTTAACTTAATTAATAAATCAAACTATTCAAGTTTAAGTTCAATTCGATAATAATCGAATTAAATTCGAATTATATTTAAATCAAACTTAAATAACTTAAAAATATTAATATACATTTACATCCTTAATTGTGACTAATCAAAATGCTTTGTTGTCGAAAAGTTTTGAAGGAGCAAACACGCAATTTTTGCGTGTCATTGCTAACTTTTGGCGATTACAACTCATATGTTATAAGCCGGTCCAAACGTGACTACAGACTACAACAAGTTAATAACCGGTAAAATCATATCTGAAACGGCGTCGTATAAGTAAGGGAGACGCTACCGTTTTCCAATTTCGAATGCAAGTAATAAACTGAGGTGGTCGTTGAAGCTCTCATAACAGTCTAGACTCTGGACTTCTTCGCGAAACTGAAGAAATTAAATCTGAAAAAAAAAAAAATCTCCCCAAATCAAAATCATAAAAGATGAAGAGATGGGGAAAGATGTGGGCTTTGATGGGTTTGCTTCTTTTGAATTGGGTGAGTAATGTTTCCTCCCTTTCGGTGACCGTAAACGACGTAGAATGCGTGTATGAGTACGTGCTTTTCGAAGGGGACACGGTTTCAGGCAACTTTGTCGTCGTCGACCACGATATTTTCTGGAGCTCTGATCACCCCGGCATTGATTTCACCGTAACTTATTATCCGATCTCTAAATTTTATGTCTTTTCGTGAAATTCGTGTTGATATCTAGTTATTGGATTCCTTTCAATAAAGGTCGGTTTTTTTATGGCGTGTTTTTTTTTTTTCTTGTTGGGTGTTGAATTCTATTTATTAAAGGTTGGTTTTTATTATATTTGCTATTTTTTTTTATAGTTGCATACTTAAGTCAATGGAATAAAGGTTGGTTTTTTATGATATTTTGAGATTTTGTGATATCTTGCTTTTGGTGGAATCAGGGGGACTTTCTTGATGAATTTTTTGGATGGTTTTGAATTAGTAAAATTTTGATCTATGGACTATGGCTGACTGATTTTAATGGTTTGCAGTTAATGAATGGATTATATTTTGTTGCTAGTGTTGATTGTTGAACAGGGGGTTTAATGTTTCGGCTCATGCATTTGAATTGATTTGATTTGATATGTGGGTTATGGAGTTTTTTGTAATTTTAGGCTTATGTTGCTAGTAATATTTTGAGTCTTTAGAAATAATTTGTTTTGATGTTCCTTGAATAACAGCTGATTATAATCTGCCTAATCCTTTGCTTAATGCAGGTGACTTCTCCTGGGGGTAATACAGTTCACAATTTGAAAGGTACATCTGGGGACAAGTTTGAATTCAAGGCACCACAAAGCGGAATGTACAAATTTTGTTTCCACAATCCCTACTCTACACCAGAGACTGTTTCGTTCTATATTCACGTCGGCCATATTCCCACTGAGAACAATCTTGCCAAAGATGGTTTGTTATGTTTCCCTCTGCTTATTTTGAAGTCTATATCCAATTTCTTTGTAGGGCAAGCTGTAAATTTCTGTTACCGTTGGCATTCTACTTTGCATCCAATATTTGATTTGTTTTTTCAACCCTTTTTGTATAGGGACGTAGCATATCATTATTATTTTCATTCAGATTTAGGAATTTGTTTTTGATTTCCTTTGTTACAGAACATTTGGACCCAATTAATGTTAAAATTGCTGAGCTGAGAGAGGCTTTGGAGACTGTTACAGCAGAACAAAAGTACTTAAAAGCACGTGATGCTCGGCATCGTCATAGTAAGTTGCTTTTATTTCCTGCTTATGTATTGTGTTGATAATTAAGGATTACTATTTATTTATTTTAGTCTGCTAGCTCGCGGTAAATATTTTCTAGGCAGAAACTACCTTTGTTTTTGGCTAGTGAGGTGGTTTTGTCATTTAAGAGTTGCTTCTTTATAGTTTTTTGGTTCATTTCTCATTTTTCTCTCTTTCTGAATACGCTCCCCCACCCCCACCTTGACCGTCACTGACATGACACGTACGATATTGTCAGTTTTGCCATTATCACCATCTAGACTCTTTCCAGCCACCATAGTTTGTTTCCCTGCTTGATTGTAATAGTTTTTTTTGTTCATTTCTCATTTTTCTCTCTCTTTCTGAATACGCTTCCACCCCCAGCTTGACCATCACTGACATGACACCTACGATATTGTCAGTTTTGCCATTATCACCATCTAGACTCTTTCCAGCCACCATAGTTTGTTTCCCTGCTTGATTGTACCTCCCACCATTGTCGGAAGGAAGGTCGGGACTAATTCTGGCTTGCTTCCTCTTTCCCTGTGATGGGATATCCTTTGCCAAGTGGATTGGAGAGAAATCTTATTCCGATCCAATGATTCCAGTCCCTTTCTGACTACAAAGCATGAATGTTACGAGATGCATTTAACTGACAGTAAATACAATGAAACATGTCATTTTAGTGCTAAGTTCAGTTTGGTAAAATTAATGTGGATAGTTACTTGTGACCATATGGAAGTTCGTAGGCATCCATTGAATATACTGGAGAAAACAGTAAATGAAGTCTAAGTTTTAGAAAACACATGATAAACTTAAAGAGATCATTTGTATTTATTTCTAGTGTAATGGCAATTATGCTTTTGGATATCCTATAGACATGATAGTTATGTGCATTCTTTGCGGTATGTCTTGAACATTGTTAGTATTAAATTTTTATTGGTGTACATGTTTAGGTGAAATGCATTAACTAATGGATAACTGCATGATTGATGGTTTGCTCATGTTTCATTCACTGACATCGATATCACATTCGTAGAATACTAACAACACATCGTGATGTCTGCAAATATGGCAAATTTTGTAATAGTTACTTGTATATCATTATGATCGGTATTTGCCTGCAGCAAATGAGAGCACAAGAAAGCGTGTTATAGGTTACACAGTTGGAGAGTACATTCTGCTAGCTCTTGTTAGTGCACTTCAAGTTCTCTATATTCGCAGTCTCTTCAGCAAATCAGTTGCATACAACCGAGTTTGAGCTACCTGATTATTAATGTAGTTTCTCTGTTCCATTTAACCAGAGGATCATAGGGAGAATCCTATAGATGAGTTCATAAAAATCGAAATTTTGCAGCGATGACAGTTTGGTGTTTTATGTTCATTCAAGTCTTGTTTGTCAATTACAGTGTTGGCTTTTTGACATGGTATATGTTTTAGACTAACTTTGATCAGTTTGAGCTACTTTTACCTAATATTATTGAAAACCTGAGTCTCATTTGCAGCAGTGCAACGTTTACACCGGTATGAGTATTGGCTTTTTTGATCATGTAGATGGAGAGATGGTTTAAATAGAAATGGCTTCCTACTAGATATGAAGATATATCCTACGTGGGCAACCGAACCCAAAACGTTGTTTAAAAAAGGTTCCAATGAATTCAATCGATAAATTCAATCGAATTTGATTTGATTAGGGCTCCATTTAAATAGGTGGTGTGATTAGTTGTAGTGAAATTGAAATCAATAATAAAAATTATTGTAGTTGCGATATAAAAAAAAATATTATAGTTGTGATTGAAAAAAAAATAATAAAAAATTTATACTGATTTTATCTCGTTATAATTAATATTTGAATTTAATTGATGATGTGATGAATTTATGTATACAATATAAATTTAATCGTACAACATCGAAAGTGCTGTGAAATTTAAACAAGGACTAAAAAATTTAAAGATTTGAATTAAAATTCAGTTTGTTGAAAAAAGTTAGAGATTTGAATTAAAAAAATTAAAATTAAAACAAAAACAACCTTGAAATGATTCGAATTTAAAAATATAAAAAAAAATTGAATTTGTTAAAGATATCCAAACTTAAAAAATATGAAAATAATTATACTTTTTTGTAAAATTAAAAAAAATTAATTTTGACTTGAAGTCTATCCAAATTGATAAGGATTGAATTAAAAATATTTAATTAATTTATTCGAATCTAATTCAAATTCGAATAATTTAAATAAAAAAATTTGAATTTAAAATAATCTAAATTTAAAATAGTTCAAACTTAAAATTACTTTATCTTAACATGAGTCAATATATCTGAAACCACTTGTTTATCACTTTTATATATTCTACTACACATCTTAGATATGAAAATATATAACTGACTATGAAATATGATTGGACAAAGTAAATAAAAATCATTAAGTAAAGTTCATTAAGGTTTAGTTATTAAACATGATTAAAATTAAAATAAAATTTCAAACTAACAAATTAAAAAAAGATTTGTTACATAACTTATCTAAACAAATCTTATTTAAGTTGGAATGAACTTGGTTAAAATCCCACTGAATATTTGATTTATATGAAACTGAATACCTTGAGCAATTTTCAAGTTTGACTTCCACATTCTCATTGCTATGAGAAAGCTGCCATTAGTCATAAAAAGAACGATAAAAAGCTGCCACTGGTCTGGAGGGAAATTTACTGGAACTTTCAAGAAAATTAAAATCAAAACATAAAAAAAAAATGGCGTAATTAAGACAATAATAAATAATAAATAAATAGATATCTATTATTATTTAATTTATTTATATCGAATTTAAATAATTATAAATAAATAATTAATAAATTTAAATATAAAATTTATTATTCGTTCATAGCGGATATGATTATATCTTTTAAATATCTAATATTTGAATTTGTTTTATTTTAATGGATAATAATGAATATTTAAATTTGTATTTGAATTTATTATTAGTTTAAATATATAAAATTTTATGTTTGTAGAATATTTCGATCTTAAAAAATAATTTTTATTTATTATTAATTAAAAATAAACTTAAATTTTAAATTAAAATTTTGTTTATTTTACATTTTGATAAAAATTTTAAATAAATAAATATTTAACGAATTCATATATTTAAATAAATAGTGCTTATTTAAATGAATTTAGATTTAGATAATAATACTAATTTAAATAAATATTTAAATGAATTTAAATATTATAAGTATTAAACGAATTTAAATATATTTATTTAAATTCATATAATTGCAAAAATTGTTAGTCAAACATATAAAAAAGATTTTATTTATTTTTTTCTTATTCTCTCGTTGAATTCTTCTTCATCTCTCTATGAATTCCTTTCAAAATCCAGATTACCATTTTTCCAAAACCCAAATTTTGACACTGGACTGCCATTGGCTATCATCGACTGCAACTGACGACATCGTTTTATTATCATTCAGATGAGTTATAAAAATTATTATAATTATAATTGAAAAAAAATTTATAAAAAAATTTATGTTAAATATATTTTATTAAAATTAACATTTAATTTAAATAATAATACAATAAATTCAATTACATCACAATAAAATTTAAACCCTTATTTAATCCAAAATTTTACTTCTCCCTCGTGTCATTTTTCAAATTAAATTTCGTAAAAAGTCTCTAAAATCCCTAAATCTAAAGGTAAACCAAACATTTTGTTGTCATTTTCACCTCTTACCGTCTGTCAAAACCCAAAAAGCATTCCCATTTCATTTACCACTTTTTTTTCTCTCTCTAAATTCTTCCTCCTCTCTAACTTATGCTTTTAGCAGTTGCATGAAAGGAAAAAACTTAGTAAGTCTTTCTCTTTCTTGGACTCTGCATTTTTTCTCGTGATGCCTTGGCAGGTCATCCTACATTGATTGGACGTCATAATAGTCCATTTCCACTCACGCGTCAAGCTGCAAAGAGATGGTCACATCGTGTGGAGAAGGCATTAGGGAGCACCCCAATCAAGAAACCCCAATAAAATAAAATAAAAAATGGAAGAAGATTAAAATAGATTGGGTGAAGGATGTCTTTCAATTACCCATCTATGTCTTAAACTAAAGATGAGGAAGGTAAGATATTGAAGTTTTTTATTTATTGAAATTTTTATTGGGTTTGGTGTAAAAATTTTTAGATATATAATTAGATTTGGTGATTTATATATTTTTATTATATAAAATATTAAAATTTATATTTTTATATTATATTTTATATAAAAATTATACGTCGTAATTTATATCTACATAAAAATATAAAATATATTTTTTAATTTTATTAAATTATATATAATTATTGTTAAAATTTTAAATTGTATTACTTTTATATCATTTTTCGTATCATATAATTATATTGTGTTTTAAATTATCATGTTTATCCGCAACTGACTTTTTTTAATTAACAATTTTTAACAAAGAAATTAAAATATTTTTTAATGATAAAAAAATATTGTAAACTAAATGTAACAGTACCGATTTATATAATTCATATTCATTAAAAAATTCTATGTATAGGTTCTAATTTGAGCACATTCAAAAATAAAAATTTAAATTAATTGAATTTATAATAAAAAATTAAATTAAAAATATTTTAATTAAAAAAACTTAAATATCTTAAATTTAGCATTTAACCAACTTAAAACAATGCAAAATAATAATATATTTAAATAAAATGCCAAAGTGGTAGGGATCATAGGGAATAAAAGTACTCAAACTTTATGAGGACGTTTAGTTTGTGAAATTTTATATTTTTAAAGTAAAAATGATATCTAAAAAAGTGTGAATTCTTGATAATAAGTGATTTTTCGTGGTATAAGATTATTAGATTCCTGTGATTGGTTAACAAGAAAGTTAGATTACTTAATCCAATATTTTTACTATAGTATCATTTACTACATAACAAATACAAATGTTTTTGTCAAATAAAAATGCAATGTTTGATAAAAAAAAAATCAAGTCAAATATTGACAAAAAGACAATCTTTTATCAAATAATCCAAAAATAATTCATAATTTTACGTTTCAAATCCTAAAAACGTAGTATTCAAGTGATCAATTATTAAAAAAAAGAATAATTAATTACCACATTTTATTCATCCAAGAAACGCAAAAAATAATTCTCAATTACTACATTTCAAAGCTTAAAAACGTAATATTTGAGTGAAAAATTAAAAAAAAATTATAATATAATATTGTGTTTTAACTTACAAAAAACATAATAAATAATTCATAATTATTATGTTTCAACTAGTGATGGCAACAGGTCGGGACGAGACGGATTTTTGTTCGTCCCGAACCCGATCCGACTTTAAACATATAAAATTCGTACCCCGATCTGATAAATTTTTTTATTTTTAATATCCGAACCCGATCCGATTTGATATTGTATAAAATTGAATCCTACTCGACCCGAAATTAATAAAATATTATTTTTAATATAAATATATAATTAAATATAAAATTTAAAAATTAATTAAAAAATAATTTTTTATATATATAGGGTCGGGTAGGGTCGGGTTTGCCTAAAACTTGACCCCGACCCAAACCTGAAATTTTTTTATGCCACCCGATCCTACCCGACCCGATACCCGATTTTCAAAAAAAAAAAATCGACTCTAAGAGGTCGAGTCGGGTCGAAACTCGTCGGTTTCGAGTATTTTTGCTTTCCCTAGTTTTAACCTTTCGAAACATAGTATTTAAGTGAAAAATTAAAAAGAAATTTATTTACTCAAGTATTGTGTTTAACTTCAAAGAAACATAATAATTAATCACATGACCTAGGTTTATATAAAAAATCAATTGAGCATTAAATACTGCATTTGTCCACAAAGAAATGTAGTGAAATCGTATATTAAACAGTTGTAAAAGAAAAAATGATAATGCCTATGGCTTAGGGGCCATGTGACATTATTTAGACCACTCTTTTTGCTTTGCTTTTCTTTGTATTTGACGTTTTGTTCTGATAGCCTTTGCTTTGTTGTGCTTTGCATTTGACTTGTTATTGCTTTTTTAATCTTAGAAATACAGTATTTGTATTTGACCTATTACTATAGTTCTAACATAAAAAATACAATATTTGTTTAGTTAAATATTATGTTTTTAACATTACAAATATAGTATTTGTTTGGTTTAAAATTGCTTTTTTATAAATACCATGTTTTTAACATAAAAAATGTGATATTTGTAATTTAGTCAAAAATATTTTGTTATTTAACAAAATTTTTTTATTCAAGTTAAATGTGAACCAAAATAACTTTTCTCTCGAAATATTAAAAAATTATTGGGAGATGTGTGTTTTTTATTTCAGAATTTTTGAGTACTGTTGAGAATATAAGATTACCCTAAAGAATCAAATACTTGTGAATCAAATGTGAGAATCACATTTTCACAAGCAAGATTTCGAGAAATATCTCAGATTCCCCTAAACCAAACGTTTCATGTCTGTTAACCATAATCATATTAAAATTCATTAGGTTTTTAATTGATTTGAATTATTTAAATATGATTTTTTAAAAAAATTATATTTAATTTAGTTTATATAATAATTATTGTTTGGTATTTTTTATTAAAAGTTATTTTAAAAAGAAATTAATTTAAATTTAAATGATAATAACTGTTTTTAATTTTAATAATTTTTAGTTTATATAATTAAAAATATTTATATAATTTTAAATTTTATTTATTATTGGTATCAAATTGTCTTTTAGAAGGCTAAAACTAGAAATTACAA